GTGTCCAACTCCTTGACATCTCCAACACTTAGTACCTTGATTCCTAGGTTTTGAAACTTCATTTGCTGGTTTAGAAGCTCCCCTTGAATTGGCTTCATTTGCAAGAGGTAGATGTCACCTCTTGTCTTGGCCTTGAGTTGGTAGTATTACTCAAACTTTTATCATCCTTTCTAGGCTGGAATTTTTGCTAGTTTGGGGTGAAATTAGGAGTGTAATTTCTGGTTGCACCCCTCCTCTTGAGCCTTCACTCAATCTTGATTGCCTTCTCCACCAAGTCTTCTAGTTCGACATAATATTGCAACTCAAGTTGGTTAGTGATTTCTAGTCTCAAACTATTGAGAAAATGCGCCATTGTTGCTTCCCTATCCTTATTGATGTCGGCTCTAAGCAAGGAAATTTCCATATCCTTGTAGTAATCTTCAACTGAGTGATTTCCTTGAGACAAGTATTGAAGCTTTTGGTACAGGTCTCTATGGCAGTGACTTGGTACAAATCGCTTCTTCATGAGACGTTTAAGCTCAGTCCAAGTGGTTATAGATGGTTCACCACACCTCCTTCGGCTTGTAATCACTTGATCCCACCAAACTATAGCATAATCGTTGAATTCTACTACAGTCAATCTCAACTTTTGCTCATCCGTGTAGTCATTGCAATCAAAAATCAATTCCACTCGCCTCTCCCACTCAAGGTATGCATCCGGATCAAATTTGCCTTGAAAAAGTGGAATTTTCATCTTAATTCTTTTGATTGCATCACCAACTAGTTTGGTGTGTCTCCTCGGTTTCCTTGGTATAATTTCATCAATCTCTGTGCCTGCATTTGAATCACTAGACTCATTCATAGGTTGCTTCCCTCTAGATTTTATTAGAGGAATTCCTTGATGAATCCAAATGATCCATTTGTTTATGTATGGATTCGAACTCAAGGTTCGAACCTTCTTTGAACTTCTGCCCATATCGCATCCATTTTTAGTGCAAGTTGGGAAATGGTAAGCTCATTTTCATTCGCCATGCTTAAACCTGTAAAACAACAAACAAGTGAACGGAAAACACCTCCCTCATTCCCTCACGTGTTTCACTCACCCTCGTGTATCACTCAAGTACTTTTAAACACTCTAATGATCTCACCAATCACTTCTCAAGTCACTTGATTGCCTCTCTTGAAGAAGTTAGAATTTTCTCAAGGAGATTCAAGCAAACTTTTCACCAAGTTTTCTCACAAGGTGGTGGCGATTTAAAGTTGGAAATTTGGAGTGAAATGGACTGAATTAATGACTCAAAATAACTACTAAGTATGCTGAAAAAAATTACCAGATTCCATCCGCACAAGGTGGCTCATATTTTGGAAACTTTGGACTTTGACTCGCGACCCAAATTAGGAAACTAAGGTTAGTTGGAACCCAAGACTGATTTGGACTCCTTTTGGGACCTATTAGACAATATTTATAGGCTGGAAAAGACTCAAAGACACGAATATAATTACTGGACAGATTACAAAAATCGATTAAGTAAGAAACAAAAATAGCAAAATTTTTGGAAGCCTAGAATTGTTCTACCTGATTGTACCTTGGCTGGATTTTTTTTTGGGAGTTCAATTCACGTTGGTTCTTGGGTATATTTTGGAAGATAAGGCTGCTGATTTGGAGAGTTTTCACGTGTGCAAGGATTTAGCAAGTCTGAATTTGGTAGTTGAGTGTGACTAGGGTTTGTTCTCAATCCCAAGTCAACTTGGTTTCCCAAATCAGATTGCTTTCTTGTTTTCACTCCAAGATTGATCTGAACTCCTGTTTCTTTCTTTTCTTGCATTCCTCCTTTTTTTTTTCAAGCAACCAGTTCTTTTCTTCCTTTTTTTTTTTTGGCAATTCGGATCAAGCTCAAGGAACAAGAATCAACTTAAAGTTTTGCACAAGAAACAACCGCAATTTAAGAACAAGAAATAGGAACTAGGGTTTGTTTTCAAGATTCAAGATTCGTGCACTTTTGATTCAAGAATTCAAGAAACCCTATTTGTCAACCCAAGAACTTGAAGATTTATTCAAGAAATTCCAGCAATTCACGAAGGTTATCAAGAACTTCAAGAATCTGATATACTTCCAAGAAACAAAGGTAAACAGCCACGGATGATTCAAGAAACACACAACCCCAGCATAATTGGTCAAGAAAACCCTAAGTAGAGCTTCGGATGTTCAAGAACAATAATGATCAGAATTTTTTTTTGACTCTATTCGATTTCAAGACTCAAGAACAAGATACCAAGACTCCAACAATATTAAGAAATATGACACAACTACAATTGGAAGTTCGGCCAACAAGAACAATGACACAAAAAACTATGAATAAGCCAAAAAAAAAAACCCTAGCAATGGTCTTAGATGTAACATGGACATATTGAATAAACTACTCATGACACAATGTTATAAAGATTAAAACACAAGAAAACAAGGCACAATTGGACGTTTGACACAAGAACAAAGAACGGACAGCAATTAATGATGGAAACAACAAGAACAATAAGGAAAAACCTAAACGACCGACCAGATTTGAAACTAGAAAAACTTACTTCGGTACGAAAAGATATACTTGAATTCATCAACTAGCTCTGATACCAAGTTGATATGAACGCGTAGTCCACCAACCCCTGGACCCAGATGAAGAAATCAAGTTGAAGCGGAACCCTTGACCCTTCTAAACCATGAAAGTATGAACCAAGATGAATTCTTAACCCACAACTTAATAATTTAGCGATTCAAAAGTGTTGGTAGAAGAATGCCACAACCAAGGTGTGTACTTGATTGATAAGTTTGGGTTGAATAACTCAAGAAAACTCTCAAGTATTCAAAAGAATCTGTCTTGGAAAAGAGAAAGTGAATAAACTCACAAAACTCTATAATTTTCTGATTAGTCTTGAACGCTTGGAAGGACTAGGCTATTTATAGCCTTACATGGACTCAAAATCCTATTGTGCTTTGGAATCACTTATTTCCCTAAACTAGCAACTAGTAATTCAGCCACTTAAGGACAAAAACCTGGCCAAATTACTTAGCTACAATAAACGACTAAATTAGCAAATAAAATTGAAGATTAAACCCTTGCTTAACTACACCAAATAAATGACCTAACTTGTTAAACACTTAACTAACTATCTTGTTTGAAAATTCTTCATCTGTAGTCACTTGAAGTATAGTGTAGTTTATAGAATCTTCATTATCTATCCCCTCGATGGTCCTTAGATCATCCCCAACTCGATCTTGAATCGTGCAAACAAGAGCTTGAAGTGATTCTCTAAACTTTCTTGCACGAGCTCTTGTAATTGGTCCACTTGGATTTTGTGCAACTAGATCACTTGAATCACGATTAGCCTTGAACCCTTTGGACCTTTCATCAAATTGGATTTAACTACATTTAATGAGTCTGAATTTCGATAAAAAAAGATCCTATCTAGACCCTACCTGTTGATATGCCTAATTATGTTAAATTAACACACTATATTGAGTTTTAAACTTGAGTAAAGTTATAGAACTTGCATGAGAAAAATCCAACATTTAATGCAGGGTTAAATGAATATTCTTCTATTTTTAATTGGGTTAAATACACTAAACCCCCCTAAACTTTATCTTTAGTTGGGTTTGCCCCCTTAAACTCATTAAATAAGCATTTTGCCCCCTATTTGATATTCTAAGACAAAAGTGCTCTTACAATTTTATTTTTATTTTTATTTATTCATTCCTTTATTTTTTTTCTTGTCTATTACTTTCTTTTTTTAATTTTTTCTTTTACTATTTTCTTATGTCACTATTTTGATCACAGGAGAGAAGGGAGGAAATTAAAAATATATAGAAAAGGACAAGTAGAAAAAGTGCAAAAAAGGAGAAAAAAGAAATAAAATAATAATTAATATAGAAAGGTTACTTTTGTCCTAAAACACAAAATAGGGAGGGGGGGACTGCAACTAAGGAGGTTTAATGCTTTTAACTCTTTTTTAATCATAATTATCTTCATTTATGACATTGGATATCAGGTTGGATTTTTAGCATCCTCTTTTGTGCTTAGGGTTTTATCCAACCCATTACCATATGCCCCATTCAGGTTTCACTGGATGAAGTGGCATAAAGATAATATTCTTAGCCACATAGTAAAGCAGTTCAAACCTTTGAGGGCTTTTTGTCAATAGCCTAGCTCGAATTCGGCTCGAGAAAAAGTTCGATGAACCTAACCTTTCATTGAGTTATGCTAAATTTGGATTTAAATATTAGGCCCAAATTAAAAGTGAGCTGAGATTAAGGCTTATTAGGTTCAAACCCAGTATAAGTCCGGCCGTTTAATCTGCATATGTCTAATACTTTATACTTATGAGTTCTGTGTCAAAATATATTAACATATATAAGAAATATTAAATATACAAAATTATGTCAGAAGATTGATAAGGACAAATATTAGTACGAGCAAATTGAGAACCTTTATACATGTATTGACGGTTGATTATGTTTTATTCCATGCACTTTGAACTAATTAGATATATTATTGTTAGAAATATATATATATATATATATATATATATATATTTTCATGAACTATTACTAGTTCATGTATAGTTTCAATGTTGTGGTCATGTGAATGTTAAATTAGTTTTGAAACTTAATAGTTATAGTAAAAAAGACTAAAATTGAATTAGTTTCATGGCCTCAATATTTTATAAAAAAATTTTCCATTTATCTATTCAAAACTCATAGCCCAAAATTTAACTGGTACTAATTATACAAGTCGAGTCTTGTTTGTTACTACTTATTACATTTATCCCCTCCTCTTAAGTACCTCCGGGGCAGCTAAACAGGGAAAAGGATAAGCGAAATTTGCGAGGCAGCGGATTGAGAAATGGCTACCGCAACGTCTTTATATCCTTCCACTTCACTACTACCATTTTCTTCTTCTGATTCCTCTTCTTCATACTATGTCCCTAGGCCCTTATCAATATCAGCTAATTGGATTACAATTTCCTGTTTACACGACTATAGTAATGCCACTTGCTTCAAACACTTAATCAGGAACCCGTTATTCAGCAATTCAAGAAACCCAAGGGTTACTTGCCGGGCTGCTGAGTACAAGTTCCCTGACCCCATTCATGAGTTTGCTGAAGCTGTAAGTACAAAATGAACCATCCCTTCTAATTTTCAAACTGTACGAAGGCAAAAGCTTGAGGTTTTAGTGCTTCCCTTTTATTTGTTTTGTTGTTTGTCTGACTCTGTAACTTGTGATTTTTTTTTTCTGTTTTTTTTTTTTTGTTTTTTGGGTGGGTTCAGGAAACAGAGAAGTTCAGGGCCCATCTTCTCAATAAACTCTCAAAGAAAGATATTTTTGGAGATTCAGTCCAAGAAGTTGTTGGAATTTGCACCGAGGTACTTCCATTTGACCTTAGGCAATATGTGGTGTTTGGTTTCTTCGCAAGAAAACTCCCGTCGTTTTGGATTTCATGCAAAATCATAAGAAACAAAAGTTTCTGACTTTGCCCGTAGAAATCTGATATTAAAAAGCATGAAGATGATTATTGTATCTCTTATTTGCTTTTGTATTATTTTTCTTTCTTTAAATAATATGATGTGTCTGATCCAAAACAAAAAAAATTCGTTGCTCTAGGTCTATCTTTGTTTATGAATTGAAATTTGCTGGTTATTGGTTCAGAATTATGGATGACCTCTCGCATTTTATAATATTGGACAGAGGTTCTGCTCCATTTGAGGTGTAATTCGTGTGTGATAGTTATGTTAGATGATGGGCGATTGAGTATAAATGAGAGATATAGAAATGAAGGCACTCACTCATGTATCCAGAATGTATGCTTTGGAAGGGAAACTTGACTGACGAAAATGTAGCCATAGGATTATGTAGTTATATGAGCATGAAAAGTATTGTTCCAGTAGCATTGTGCCTGCACAATGATTTAGATAAAGAGTGGATTGCAACCATGTGTACATTGTCTAGTGTACACTTTTCAGATTGCAGTTGGCTATCCTCAGACTAGAACAGTAGTGCTTAATTTCATTTTATTGTCTGTATTTTATTGTCATCCAAGAAGTGACATATAGGATATCAATATTTGGTTGGTTTCCTATTGAAGGGTTAGCATGGTGATGCGAGGACATAATTTGACACTAAACTAGCTAGATGATGAGGAGAATTTGTTGCTCAGTAATATATTCACCCATAAAAGTTGCATGACAGATGACATCCTTTTAAATCTATGGGAGATAGACAGGCAGATAATGCACATACATTTGATCAGGGCTCCTTTCTGAATAGAAGGAAATTGCCAGAATTGCCTGTTGCATCATCCCACTTGCAGTCATCTGGTGGCTGATTTTGTGGCTTAAGGAATTATATGGGCTTAGCTGCAAGCTTACAAAATAAAACCCAGTAGTTTGAAGTAAGCTTTCAGTGTCCAACAAAATCCATGATTTGCCATTTGCTTGTGATCTGTGGTTGTTTGCTCACATTATTGGAAGCTGTGTTCGTGGCATAAAGAACAATATGGGCTTAGCTGCAAGCTTTCAAAATAACACCCAGTAGTTTGAAGTAAACTTTCAGTGTCCAACAAAATCCATGATTTGCCATTTGCTTGTGATCTGTGGTTGGTTGCTCACGTTATTGGAAGCTGTAAGAATGAAGATTGTTGGAGATACTATTTGGACACCTTTCCCATGCAAAACACATCTTACTAGATATGTCTTCCCAAAGGACTCCAAAACCTTGTAGATTTCCTGGTGCGAGTTTTATTCCATGCAACGACCTATTTTCTTTTGGAGACATGTAACAGTTATATAATTCCTTTCCTTGCGAATTGCTAAAGAATTATGTAGGACAGAGTCAGGTAGCAAGACAATTACATCTCTAAAATAACGTCGTAATGATGATCTGCTGGATCCATCTTCTAGAATCCTTGACTGATCTTTTGTTTGATATACTAGATTTCCAAAGTGTCTTCTTTGATTACTTAAGATAAATATCTCTGTTCTGAGTGTCATTTCCTTGTGCATATCTTACAGGTTTCTACATTTTGTTCGATCGAGTATCAACGTTTATGAAGTTGATTTCTTCTTCTTCTTCTCATTAGTTGGGCTAGGTCATGTGTGCTTTATGGTATTATCTTGGTGTTTTGTCTTGAAAGAAAACAAAGAATGCAGATGCTGGATATACTACCTAACTATCATATTTGAACAGATTCTCAGTACATTCTTGCACACCGAATATGGAGGTCCTGGAACTCTATTGGTCATTCCTTTTATGGACATGGCTGATACTCTAAATGAGAGAGGTTTACCCGGAGGTCCACAAGCTGCACGAGCAGCAGTAAAATGGGCTCAGAATCATGTTGACAAGGATTGGAAAGAGTGGACTAGCAAGAATAGCAGGTGATAGAAGTACCTCGCATCAATTCCCGTCCTCTGTTAGCTGTTTCCCAATTTATCTAGGAATGTGTGAAAAGATTGCAACTGGTTTCTGAACTCTATTGGGGTGAAGAAGGATTGGAGTTTCCCGCATCTTTGTGAGACATGTCATCCTAGTCATGATGGGATTGAATTTTGCCAAGAGTTGTATGAGAGGAATGTGCTTTTGGAGTGAGCGTTCTGATAGGATTTAGAAGCAGATTTCACAAAAACTACTGAAAAGACATGGTAGACAACTGTATGAGCATAAACTTTTGTATCTTTTGTAGTTTTTGTCAATTAATATTGTGAAATTATTCATCCTTGTTACCTCTTATATACAACTTGTCATGTAATTTGTAAACTGCAATACTTCTAACAGGAAGTTATCATGAATGACTACTAAAACATGAAAGTTAACAAGAACACCAATTATGTCCTTGGTGATAACTTAGCTTTTAAGTGCCTGGCAGGATTCCCAGTAGCCTCCTGGGATGTAATGTCTGCCGGAGGCAGTATCAGTCTGTTTAACCTCTGCAACCAAAGTGGTTCAGAAGTGTCCGTGCTTAAGCTCTCAATGAACCCAGAGCTCAGTTCAATTTGTATTCTTTCACATCAGCTTGCCTAAACCCCAAGTGCTTGCATCCTTGAGGCATTAATACTTGTCTGTTAACCTGCTGCAGCCCAAGTTTTTTGCTGAAAAGGTAAGAGTAACCCAAGCAAGGTCATTTGATTTGAAATGAGACCTATAAGCCTCGACTCCTGACCAACTGACTGCAGTTCAATTTGTACTTTTTCACCCATCAGCCTACATAAACCCCAAGTGCTTACCTCCTCAAGGCATTAATACTTGTGTCTGTTAAACCTGCTGCGCAGACACTATGCTCAGCACCTTCTATTGATTATGTTGCCTATAGTAAGGAAGCAAGTAAAGGAACCTACAAACTTGATGATCAGCAAGTTTCCTTCAGCTGCTTCAAAACGATTGCATTCCTCCAGACGAATGCCACTTTTCTGGTCTTCTTTCAAGATTTGACCGTCTGCATCTAATAAAAAAGACCTACCTAAGATTGATCAACTGGTTTTGGTGTAAATGGTCAGAGCAACATCAGCAAGTGAAAATGGTTACTCAATTTAACCAAGTACAAAATGTGCCGTCTGGCAAATTTGTCCAACGAAAAGAAATGAAAACAAGGAAAAACAAAAAGAAAAACAGAAGTGGGATGAGTAATTCAAAGTTGGAATGGTAAATAAAATAACCCCGATAGTGGCATATAATCAAATAGTATTTACCCTTTCTTCCTTTTGTACACTTTAACCATAAAAGGTACCAAGAATAATAAAGTTATTTCTAAGTTATACTTTTGGTAACAAGCTCACAAATATAATTGGTAAAAGTTGAATAGTAACCACTTCGAGCGTGGGTATTTAAAGTGGAGTAATAAAAAAGGGTAAAAGTTGAATAGTAACCACTTCGAGCGTGGGTATTTAAAGTGGAGTAATAAAAAAGGCACAGAATTCCAGTAAACTGCCCTAGAAACATGTTAAATTAAAAAAGATTAAGCATAGTAGCAATCTACTATAGACATCTTTTCCATTTTGTTCCCCTAGAAAGACAATTGCTCTATTGTCTTGATCGCTTTATATACAACAAAATAAGGTAAAGCTACTTGAGATTATTATGTACTTGTAATCTATTCAGGCGAGACCTACCTATGACATAGAAAATTGAGAAGGCTCCAAACTAAAAAAACAATACCAAAAACTTCCAAAAGCTTAACTCGAAAGTATAGGGAATTGTTCAATCTTCCAAGGCATTAACAATTTTCATGGCAAGCCTTGAATCATCTTCATCTTCACTTTCCTTAAGACGTTCTCATTCCAATAGATTAGATTATTTGTATGAAGTTTCAGTTGAGCCTGAACGAGTAAATCCAACATCTCTTCCACTTATCAATCCATATTCTGCTTTTCTAGAAGCATCTCTTTCACCTATTCGAACTATAAAATCCCTCATAAAGTCTCAGCCTAACTAAGTTAAAGAATACATTCAATCGTCTAGATTAGACCAGCACCATATTCCAGCAACCCAAAAGGAGCAGTTTATAACCTTGTACACACCTCTAGAATTTCCACAACAATGGAAACAACAAGATTTTACAAATATCCATTTTGGATCAATGCGTCTCTCCTTATCTTTTCATGGATGAAAAGGTCTTTCAGTAGTAGCTAGAATTGCTTTGCTGGACACTCGATTCGTGGAATATCAACATGCTTGCATTGCTACAATTGAAACAACTCTAAATGCTGGCACAGTTTTTGTTACTCTTTTCCCTAATTTTATTATGTGTCTATCTAATCCTCATCTTTTAGATTCATTAAAAGTACAGATTCAGATACATGGAGTTGAACAAATCTTAGATGCTATAGCTACTACCATTCACTATCAGATCGTCCAAAACTATACTTTAGATTTAACGCTTCCAGGAGGTGAAGAAGGTCTTTTAATCCATGTGGATGAAAAGCATTCAGCAACATGTGCACATGTTCCAAACAAATATCTAGAGCTGAACTGGTGCAACTTCTTCCTGAGGCATGGGTGACAGATTATGAGAGATTACACCAAGCTGCAAATCAGCCAATTGAGTCAACTGACTCGAAAATTTCTACTCTTTCAGATGGAACTATTTTTATGAAGTTTAATCATTCTAATCTTAAACCCAGTTCTTCTAAATCTTTGCCTACTATCTCTATGATGCAGGTTCCTGTAGAACATCCGTCCTAGTTATTTGCCCAACTTGGAGATTATGATAGGCAAAATACTCTCCAAGATATTATTTATTAATTTGATAAGTAGGGAGAACCAGTTTATTAGTTTTAGGATCCTTTTAATGGACACATATTTTTTGATATGTTGGAATACATGGGATGATGATGATGATCTTCGCCGCAAGTAATCAAAATCTAAGAAAAAAGACAAATGCTTAGATTGTTAACCCCAGCCAGATGAAGATAATGATCCAAGAATGTAGTGTTTAAGAAGCACTTTTGATGGAATTCAAATTCCAAACTCAAGGAAGATTAGACAAGATCCTATTCCCAAACCAAAGCTATGCCCATATTATAAGAAATGTTTAAAAATCCTCGCAAAAGAAAAAAATCCAGCCTTCAGCCTCTTTATGTCAGCCTTCAACTCCACAACCCAATATGTATGTTGTAGCCTTTAGATTTTCCTCCCTTAGAACCATTCACAAAGGATCATGCTAGGCATTCTGCCAAGATGAGAAATTCTTCTCCGACTATTTTGCCAATAGGAGAAACAAATCCAGCCAATAAATCTGAAGAAGTCCTAAATTGGCAATCGGAAAACTCCTTAGCCCAAAACAAGGTCTTAACTTCGATGAAGCAAAGTGTGGCAGAAGTACAATCTAAGATTGATCGTGTTGAGACACAAATTGATACAACCAATACCCAAGTGTCTCACATGATTCAAGTTTTAGAAAAATAAGACTTGAAGAACTCAAACTCAAGTACCCTGAACAAGACGTTTCAACTTTTCATCTCAAAGAACTGCAAGAAAAGGAGTCCAATTTCTTACAAAGTCAAAAGGAGTTTTCACTACCCCACTAGAAATAACCTCTTTCTTCAATTTCCACTGCCTCTTTTTATGCACAACCCCTTCATCCTATTCCTTTACCGTCATCCTCATATTTTGGAACCCTTCCTCTTTACCAACCTACTACCCTTTTCTCTAGTTCAAATCCAACTCCCAAGCCTGATTTTGATATTGTCATATGTTATGGTACAGAAACCAGAGAAACCAGAGTTTGCAGGAAGCATAAGGAATTAAGCTCAAATGAAGGAAACCAATTAATGGTGAATCAATGAAATAGTGAACGAATGAACTTCAACTTTCATTAATTGAATCTGGAAAACAAATTACAAGAACAGAAATAATGGATTTAGCTAAGAAGGGAAAAGATTGAAGGAAAATTTGGGAGGGAAAAATGAGGATTGCTCCTCAAGTTAATTCAGACGAATCTGAGGGAATAATTCCAAAAACTGATCACAACGAAGCAGAGATGCCTACTTATAAACCTATCAATTTCTAACAAACTCCTAACTACACCAATAAGAATCAAACACGTGGCCTTCTTTTATTTAGCTCGCTCCATGACAAAGCCTCCCCCTTGAACAATCCTTGTCCTCAAGGATGTCAAACAAAGTTCCAGGCTTCCAAACAAAGTCTTCAGATTGATATTTGGCAATTCACAGCAAGCAAGTAGTATAAGAAAATGGCAAAGCTTGCTGATTCTTCTGAGATTGATCTTCCATAAGCACGTGCAAAAGTAGTTCAGCCGCCAATTTTTGCATATCTGAAACAAAAGAATCAAGTAAAGGAATTGGGAGTTCACGAGTTTGGTGGTCAGCCAGGCCTTGTGGCTCCAAATGTTTACAACCTTTAAAGTTCTAAATTGCCCATCACTCTCAAAATCAGGTCCTGGAATTAGTTTTAGCTGAGCAACAAGAGCTGAAATTCTAGAAGTTGCACCACCAACCATATATAATCTTTTAAGAGCAACTTGATCCGGATAATGCAAACCAAGGAATTTCTCTACTGCCTTTAAAAGGTCTTGCAGGCTAGCATCAACACAACCGAGCAAGGTTAGAAGTCCTGCTGTTACTCCTGGATTTGAAACAGATAGGAGAATTCCTATGTAGCCATTACAGGCCAAGCTAGCCAGAAATTGCAGACCAAAGTACCTATTGGTTCCCTCTTTTAATTCCAAGAAATTAGCAAGTACTGATATAGCTTTCACTGGTGCATGTACCTGTATGATATCCCTGTCTTGAAACACTATTGCTGGTAATATGCCGTAAACCAATGTGTTATTATCCTTACTAAAGTCAATTTGACTACACCATAACAAAGATTGGGAAGATTTCTCATTAAGAAGTTCACTTTCCCCAACCTCCATAATCACAATTTTACTTTGGTGACCACATATAGCAAGAGTAGAAAGTTGCAAAATGGAAATGCGGACACCATAGATAACTGTTGTACACTTCTCTACTTCTCCTTTCTGTGGACATCTTCTTTCAAGCAATTTGAAGCTGCACTCCTGTACATATTTCAATTGTCCATTGCTGAAGTTTTCAAGCAAGATAACCTCACCGGGGTTGAACACGAAAATGAATGCATTTGCATCTTTTTTCACCCCAAGTGCAATGTTTTTCACTATCCAAAATGAAGACACTGAGCAGTACTCATCCACAGCAACATTAGGATTGCAGTCCTTACTTAATTTAGGCAACCCTTGGATCAAGCAAACGAGGTGTTCAACTATTGCTATGTAAAATATACCTTGC